AGCAAGAAGTAAGGTATAAATACACGCATTTTCGAAAAGACTTTCTCTGTAGATGATCAGTCTGCATGAGTAGGTGACTAATCGCATTCAACCTTGTTATTCAGGCGAAAGAAGTTGGTTGCGAAGCACCTTAATTTCAGATTGGAACAAATGACTTACAACACCATGCAGGTCGTAAAATCGAGATGGAAATTACATGACATTCCGCAACCTCCTCATCTTTGTCTGACTACTAACCCCAACACTCACCTCTCTGACAGGACAAAATCGTTGGAAAAATGTTCTGGAGTAGAAGATATCAGATACGAGTGTCTCCAACAGCAGTTAGCATTTTGGAGTATACTGTTCATCATTTGAAATCTGAGGTATAGAGATATTCTGTGTTAGAAGTATTTAGTGACTGTTTATATACTGAACGTTGGAACGCCACACGCTTCACTTTCTGACTTCGATTGGCACCATAGTTCTGATGTGATTCGAAAATAGAAGACATACATGTGTGAAGTATCCACGATGGGTTCTGAGTAAACAGGAGTATGAAATGTTGCACAGGACGAAAATTTAGTGGCTGACTAACCACTGAGATCAAATTGTCGACCTCAAATTCAAGAAGCAGTCCATGGAGTAAATTCCTGAATGCAAGATTCTATATGGCATACTCATGACCAGACATCTTATGCTCCATTGGAAGCAATCTTTGCAGTGAATGATGATGGGAAAAACTAAAAAGCCATGAACAGATGAGCAGGTGAAATTCTTCCAACAGAAACATGATCTTCAACTTTGGAAGACATGAGCTCTAAGATTTGCTGAGACCAACGAGTGAACACCGAATCAAAGCAGTGTCTTGAATCAATGTTAGTGGACACCGACGAGCTACTAAACGGCATCATTTATTCGAATCATCTTTCAATTTGTTTGGTTAAGATTTTTCTTATGACTTCGTCGGCTGATTGCTCACAGAAGGCGGGAACACAACTGTGAGAAGTGTTAATTTATTTTATACTTACGTTCATCTATAAACAATATTATTAATCAAATGCTAACTAGGCAAATGAACTCCTCTCCGTTTGCGTAATCTAGTTTCACTCTATCTGCTGATTAGTAACTCTTCCATTTAAGCTCATGTAAAGATTTTCAGGAAGCTGTCGTGAAGCAGCAGCAACAGCTCCTAATTCGCTTCCTGAAGCTGGCCTATCAATATTTTGTAACTGTTTTCCCATCTGAATCGTGATGACGAGCCATCTAGGATGGTAGGCGCATTGTAAGCTTGACTGATAGAATTCAGTCTGCACGAAACAGCAGACTACACACATGACAGTAGTTAGTGTCCAGTCAAAGTATCGGATGCGGTTCTACAGAAAGTCATTCGCGAACTCAGATTGCTCATTGATTATGTTTCTGATTACAGCACCGGGGGACGCTGGTTCCTGTCTCGGAAGGGACATTACTTCCAACAAGATTTCAGACACGCCTAGCTGAGGAGTGGCAACAAGCGTGAAACCTGGTGTCAAGGCTCCCTTAAGATTGTCTCTAGCGGCCTAACGACAACAATTGTGAGAAATCTCTATTGTATGCTGGATATACTCAATAACAATATCTGACGAGCGATCAAGCTACTGACTATTGATGAGTAGTGTGTAAAATGTTTGTAAAAGCAGATCTCAATGAAATTGAAATAAATAAATAATTTCTACCTTACATTCTGCGAACTCCGAGGAAATGTTTAATATGAAGTGGAAAATAGCTTCCGATGTTCCAGAATTAATGGAATTCCTAATACCCATACTAATATACACTAATTACAACCACTAAAATAGTGAACATGTCAGAGACGTACTTTTACCAGTAAAACATCAGAGGAATATCCGAAACTACACCATCTACGAAATGAAAAACTCACGTTTGTGGTAAACAACAAAACCCACAATATTCTGATTAAAATATCCAGACAAGCTTAAAGAAAGCTTGTTTTGGTAGCAAGATGTTTGACCAATTGATTGACCACCATGAGTTGACACAGAAACTGATAAAATTATCGAAGGAGTCTCTTCTACCACTCGATGCAACCGAGTGCCTAATCAACCCTTCAATAGGAGAACTAAACCCTCGTGAGATAGAAATGCTCACAAAGGGATCAAATGTCACATTGATTGTCATGAACTGCAGCGTGATAATGTCATTCCCAGCACAAATGCAGCACTGAGGTTAACAAACTACACGATAACAACAGATCACCTTGTGCATTCGAATTAAAAAAGACAGATGAAGAGAAATTAGACTCAGAGAAATCACAAGATCTGGATCTGATCAATTTCAGGCATCATAAAGACGCAGGTGTCACGAAGACTGCTGGGGAGCAGGGGTTGAGGTGGGTGTGCAAAAGTCTCACGATTTTATAATGTTCAAAGAAAGTATTCAAATGTGTCAGTATGTGAAAGTTGACCTGCTTACAGGTGTGCTGATTAATGAGACTGAGGAATCTACAATCGTCACCTATTGACTATAAATAGTTTAATTTTATGCCTGTAACTAATGATGCCGATAGAGTAAACAGAAGCGTTGATAAACATAAACCGGTTCATCCTATAGGGCTAGTAGTCGATTTCAGATATGAACCAGACAACTGAGTTGTCTGAATGCGCAGAGTTAATAAATTGTCTGAAGTTTCTGAAATTGATCAGATCCAGATCTTGTGATTTCTCTGAGTTTAATTTGTCTTCATCTGTCTGTTTTAATTCGAATGCACAAGGTGGTCTGTTGTTATCGTGTAGTTTGTTAACCTCAGTGCTGCATTTGTGCTGGGAATGACATTATCACGCTGCAGTTCATGACAATCAATGTGACATTTGATCCCTTTGTGAGCATTTCTATCTCACGAGGGTTTAGTTCTCCTATTGAAGGGTTGATTAGGCACTCGGTTGCATCGAGTGGTAGAAGAGACTCCTTCGATAATTTTATCAGTTTCTGTGTCAACTCATGGTGGTCAATCAATTGGTCAAACATCTTGCTACCAAAACAAGCTTTCTTTAAGCTTGTCTGGATATTTTAATCAGAATATTGTGGGTTTTGTTGTTTACCATGGATGTGAATTTTTCATTTCGTAAATGGTGTAGTTCCGGATTTTCCTCTGATGTTTTACTGGTAAAAGTACGTCTCTGACATGTTCACTATTTTAGTGGTTGTAATTAGTGTATATAATTTTTGCTATTAGGAGTTCCGTGATATTTTAAATATCGGAAGTTATTTTGGGCTTCACAATAAACTTCTCTTGAATTTCCGAAGGTAAGTTTGGAATTATTTATTTCAGTTTCATAGAGACTTAAACCGAAATTTCCACAGTTATCCACATTTACAAGCATTTTTCACACTTGTGAATAGTATTCAATAGCTTGAATGGTTGTCAGACATTAATGATTAAGAGCGATACAGTATGGTGATTTCTCAAAATTGTTGTTATTATTTGACTGGGAGCAATCGTCAGGAAGCCTTGACACCAGGTTCAGTGTCTGGCAGCACTGGTCAGCTGGTCATGTTTGAAAGCTTGGTGCTAATTATGTCCCTTCCGAGACCTGGAACCAGCGTCGTTCGGCGCTGTATACTTTGACTGGACACTAATTGATGTCATGCGTGTAGTCCTTTGTTCGGCGCGGACCAAATTCCCTCAGTGAAGTTTACAATGTGGCCACAACACTTGGCGGTTCGCCATCGCAGACACGAAGCTTCCCGCCAAATCCCTCCAACCATCTAATAACAACATTTCTGAGTTCACCTTGATGGCCAGTAGTCACCTAGAATGGTGGTCACATTGCAAACTTGACTGAGAGAATTCAGTATACACTAAGCAAAGAAATAGATGCATGACACTAGTTGGTGTCTAATCAAAATAGTGATATCTATTGCATGTCATTCCAAAGATTGCAAATTTATGCATCTCTCACTTTTCAGAACAGTTTGAAAGTCACCAGAAATAAGCTTATGGCCAGAACATCTCACGATCACAGCGAAAATGCAAATGAATTTATTGAAATGTAAACTTATTAACGCTTTTATTGTATTTTGTGATATGTATAACTGTTGGAAATGGGTTCTGAGATGTTCATTTGTCTTCACGAAGGGCGTGTTTAACTTCAGAGGAAAATGAAGATGAAACAGAAGGGAGAAGGGTAGTTCAATGAAGATGTAACATGGAAAAAAGTCGTTCAAATAAAGAAAGGAAGTGGGAAACTACTTATAAAATAGTGATATGTCAGCTTGAGTAACCTTAAAGGAAGAGAAATAGAAGCTGCTCCTGTTGCTTAACGATAGCCGATTGAAACTTTCAACGTGAGGATATGTGGTATTGAGGGGTGAACACGTGAATGAAAGAGCTAATATAAACAATCGATAGAATGTAACTAGGTTACTCAAATGGAGAGGAGTTCATCAAGGTAGCTGACATCTGATTCATGTCTACAGAAGACCGTAAATATAACATAAATTAACACTTCTCTTTGTTGTGTTCCGGCTTTCTGTGAGCCATCAAACAGAGAAGTCATAAGAAAAATCTTAACCAAACAAATTGAAAGATGATTCGAATAAATGAGGCACTAGCTCAGCATAATATATGTGTGACTATGCGTTAGTGAGTGCGCAGTGATTATTAGGTTTTCCTCGGAATTATTCGTTTCCCTTGGGTTAGTCAGTTTCTACGCTTAGCTTACTTTCTCCATCCCTATAACCTACACTGAGACGATATGCTGATCTCATGTGTCTTATTATGATCTTATTATGATATTTGTGTACCAGAACATTCTGTCTTATGAGTTGTCACCGGAATTCCAGGTTAGAAAATTTGTGCTGAGTTAAAGTCACATTGATGCATTATTTCCTAGCAAGCTAATATGTATTATCTCTTGAAGAACCAACTTCATGATGGTTATGACAAACTTACTAATACGAAATGTTTTAGTATGACTTCAGTGAAGCTAAACACCAGTTAACAGCTCTGTGAGTATTCGATGCAATCAGCGTCAAAGATGGTAAGTGGAAAAACAGGTTTATAAGATTTTCATCTGCTTAACACGCTGCATAGTGGTAAGAAGTGGTCAACTTGAAACCATAGTGAACTTGTGAGTACATCAACAGAAGTCGACAATGAAACTAATGAAGAAGCCTACGCGTATTAAGTGTGTATTTATTCAGTGTTCGAGAGCGTAAGACACAAATTCTCTTTCTTGTCAATCTGTTGAATCCACTTGGTTTCAGTAAATTCAGCGTTTCATTAATATTTGAACCTAACCATTTGATCTAACGTATTTTGAAACGATAGTTTTGTGAAAAGAAATTATAACGAAAAATCGTATGATTTCAGTTATTAATCTTTGCCACTTTATTATTTATTGAAGTGAATATATATGTAGGCTGAAAAATGTGCTTCATTTCGAAAACAAGTAGTCGTATTAGTTGTTTTTCCACTGAAATATGTGTATACTTTGAAACTTCAGAGAGAGAGAGAGCGGGAGACAAAGATGGGAAAAGATAACACAATGCACACTGTGTAACACTGTGTGACGCATCAAAATAAAATCTTATCTATAGTGAGTTATGCTCTACCACAGTGCCCGAGTTTTATACTTATGTCAATAAGACGTAATTTGTATTCTAATTTGTGTGGTCAATAGATTACACCTTAATCTTTGAACTCGTAGTTATATTCTCATGTTAAATAAACAGTTTTGGGTGGTTATTTTTTATGAAAGGTATTCTGTTAGATTATAGTGATACGTGTTAGAATGGTCAAACATTCTATGGCACCACTTAGTTTATGTTCACAGCTATTCGGTGTGTATTCTAATACTTATTCCTACTTAATAATAGTCGTCATTTTGTAAGCTTATATTGTCACAAGAAAATCATTGAAATCTATTGAGGCTTATTGAATGCACAAGTGTAATACTGAGAGTCTTTTTAGGCAAACACTAAGACAAATTTGTAAGTGAAATTGAATGACCACCTTGGTTTCCTACACTTATTTGCTTGACATTCCGGTGACTAATTGCCACTGTAACAGTCTACAATACAAAACGAAGTGTGTACACACTGACGATAATTCCAGATATTTAACAGCGTTTCACTGGAATTTGAGTACTTTGTCAGTGTTACAGTCAGACATATTTAGAAAAATCGAATTTATGACCTAGTGACTTGAAGGTTCTTTCAGTATATTCAAAACACCTAACATTTCTTTACAGAATAGTTGTGTGAAATGTCTTCGGTACCAGAGCTACAGTGAATGAACACTGTTAGGTGCATCAAGATGACTGGTGCCTATATACAGTAGTCTGTTTCAATGATAGCTGGAGGGTGGATTCAGTGCAAATGTATTATCTGGATGAGTGTGGTGAAAATCTTCTCACAGTGTCACCTGACATCCTACGGTGTAGAATAAGTATTTTTTATTCCACAAAGTCTTCAAATAATGTAATCTGAATAAGGTATATCAATGAAGTCAAGCCGTTAGTAAACTTCTCAGGAAAAACATCTTCGTAAGATGAATGACTTGGCGTATTACTAACGTGAAATCCATCCTAAAAATTTCTTGAAATTAATGGGTTCTTCGGTGACTTCTGTGGAGACGACATCTACAGAGTTATGACTGAATTACGTTAATTAAGAACTCACGATTCTTTCATTATATGACTGAGCCAAAATTAACTTGCACATTAAAGTATTGGTTTGTATGGATTTGGTTGATTGGTTAAAGGATTTCATCATGAGCTGACATTAGTTAGAGAACCATTGGAAAACCTGGGAGTACTGGACAGCTGTTTCGGACTAGTTTGGGATTCTTCAGCATAACGCCGCCACCGTGATTAAAACCCAAAACCTTCTGCTTACAAGAAGAGCCCGTATATTGGAAAAGTTTATTTTTATAAAAGATATGTAGATGACATAATAGCCATTCATGATAAACCAACAGAAGCCATAGAATTCCTGGACCAAATCAACAGAGCACAAAACAGTATATCGCTAACATACGTTACAGGGAATAATGATTGCCTGCCATTTTTAGATGTACTCATAACTCGCCGAGAAGATGGGTCAAGGAAACAATCTGTCTACAGAAAGTCAACTTGGACGGGACAGTATCCAAATTATCATAGTTTCTGCCCACTACAGTATAAAAAAGCGTTGGTTAGATGTTTGTTCAAGTGCATTCACCGTATATGTACTGCTGATACAATTGAAGAAGAAAGACAACACTTCACTGAAATACTGTTAGATAACAATTACCCACTAGGATTTATTAGATGTTACGGAAGTGTCAACCATAGAGCTTTACCAATCCAATCAGTTCCCAAAAAAGATGTTTAAATATCCTTGCCGTTCAGAGGTGATCAACAAAGTCTGGTCACTAGACAAAGACTCAAATCCGCAATTAACAGAACCTATTATGCAGCTAAACTTATCTTCACAGAGAAAACGAGAACCATGCTGTCCTGTAAACCCTAACATTATCCGAACGATAGTGTCACACCCCACTGTGTTTATCAATTTACATGTATGTGTGGAGACACGTACATAGGAAGGACCCATCGGTCTCTGCAGGTTAGGGCTACAGAACACATTCCAAAGTGGCAGCAGCAACAAATGAAATCCCCTGACATAGCTGACCCCGGAAATAGATGTCCAACATCATCTACAGCGAAGCATATATAGAGACGGGTCACAAGGTTGATTTCAACAATGCCTTTAAGCCAATATATAAAACAAGGTTGGGCCACATACTTAAATTCATTGAAGCCTTAGCCATAAAAAGACTTAAACCTGTCTTAAGTGTTCAAAAGCTATTTGTTATCACCTTAAACCTGCCTTGGTAATCCAAGCTAGAACCAAGGACCAATTTACTTCATAAAATTTTCAACCCCTTCATTGCCTTGTATTCCCCTTTTCTCTTTTTATCTTTCTCACCCACACCTTTTGCGTCTCCCTACCCACTATTTGTGACATTGACCTGTACACAATCTAACCTGTATTGTAATTATTCATGCCTTCTTGCCTTCTACAAAAACTGTGTATGACATGTACGTGTGTGATCAGAATGTCCGAAATTTGTTTTTTTTTTCTATTTGTCATACGGGTGGTAAAATTTTCCAGATGTTTGAGACACCATTATGCGCAATTACACACAACCAAATAATAGAATGTGATAAGATGGAGGTGTTAAAATCTAATGTAACAGGGTAGAGGGAGATATTGATAATGGAAGCTTCATTCATCGAATCAAATGAGAAAGCGTGTATTAGGAATGATTCAGCACCTGTCCACTCGGACACCTGAAAAATTCTACTGCCGCTAAGACGAATAAGAGAGGACAAACAAAAATATAGAACTCAATTTTTCAAGTCGTGTGATTATCATGTATATGATTATGAACCACAATAAACTGTGTTAGAAACCTTTTCATCCAGTAAATAATACTATTTCACTCACTGTGTGATATATATTTTCGATAAACAAATTAATATAGACGTAAACGGATTTAAAACTGTTTACCTCAGTGATTACTTGGACCTCCAGGAGTTGAAAACAAGTAAACGCTTTGCATTACCTACTTTTAACGAGAAGATTGGAAATTTTAAGAGTTAGCAGAGCTTAATATAACTCCGACTCCTAAACGGAAGTTAGTAACAGTCTATCATGCGAATCATTTCAGGATACAATTACCCGAATGGTCATTCTTTGAGTCAGTCCTCAAAAACCGTTTTGCATTATACACACTATAACCGTAATTCTGGACTTAAAATATGAGTGATCTTTGTGGCGCAATTACTGGAAATATTAATGGGTGAATTTAGCCCGACGCGCTCTTCCACTCCACGTAGGATTACAGCAGCCTCTGGTCTGATCCTCAGGTGAACGCAGTCATCACTATACGTCTACCCTCATATATCCTGATTGGCGTCCAAAATGCAAGGAGGAGTGTGTTTTTCGTTAGTGGCACCACAACATCTTTGATATAAGCGTAACAGTGTATTGGGAGTTTCTTAAACACGTTCGAATATTCCCAGTAAGTCAGACCTATGTGTTACAACAGAGATAAATATGGAGTCATGCGACAAATTTCTTACAGTCATCCCTTTCATAACACTACACATCTGATAAATTTCATTCACATGGGCCGCCGAGTCGAAACTCTACGACTCATCGGTCTAGAGAGGACAGAGATCTTTCTGACAGAAAGAACTACTAAATAATGTGGTCAGAATGCTCGTTTTAGCCGTAACAGCCTCTAAAGTTCTGTCATCTTCCTCTCCTATTTTTATTAAAGTGGATTTCGAAAGATTGACAGGATTCCCCATGCCCTCTGAATGCATCGTCAATTTTGATATCAGTGACTAGCTGTTACATCTAATAAGTTATTTGTGTAAGAGTGATATCCGTAAAATGTACGTCTCGGGAGAATTCTTCCACCCACTACTGGTCCTGTAGGTATAACTCTTCATATCAGAGCAGCTGTAAAACGATTCTGTAGTTCTGAAGAGGGATCGGCGATGATCTCACACCTATCCTCGATAATATTTTTAGGAATCCGCACAATAACTAAGTGACACCTTATTTTATGTGAGTGGATAAGACAAAGGGTGAGACGCATTTCCGCATGAGCGAACCCTGAAAATGGTCGGTGTGTCCTTAAGGTGTTGTGGTAACTACAAATTGCACAAGAAATTCGATTTCAACATTCAGTGTGGTTATTTATGTATAGAAAGTGCATTAACATATCACTTTTATAATGTTTACCAAAGAGATTCATTAATGAATACAATAGTAATAATCTGCCACGCCGTAACCAACCAAACTTCAACCAGTAAATTGGTGATATTATGGCTACACTGAGCTGCAGATATGGCACGTATTCACCATTTTTGTAAATGTCAGGTTATGTGGTCAACCTTTCACACTATACAAGCCTTACCATATTGCATGTACTAATGTCACAACTTAATCTTTACTTTACCTAACCTCCAACTGCTGGTAA